AACCACTGCATGTAATCTCTGAACCGGATGTCTAACCAGATCGACTAGTTAAGTGGTGTACAAGGGCGAGAAGAGTGAGCTCGACTCTTGGAGCTCCCTCACCACGGCACTTCAGCACGTTCCACACATTAATAAATCCAAAGCGCTATCAAAATATCGCAGTGTGCTTGGAAGGCTGTCTACTTACTAGCTAACTCGGTCCTGAGGATCAATGCTACGAGCAGGTGGCATAAGTGGGTCGAAGATGGAGATCCAGCCACGATAACGCATTCTTATTGTGGCTTCTATGGCACTCTCACTCAGGTGGAGTCCAAGTCGTCCTTTTTTCTTACAAAATCATGGTACTTTCTGTAAAGACCTGGTCGTGAGTGACACGCATATACAGGCTGTTCAGCATGTCAGTCATTCGCCCTAACTTTCTCTTGCCCCCGGACCCATGTATGCGAGAGCTAAGCGAATGCCGTCGCTGCCGTGTAAGTTAATTACCATTATAAACTAAATCCCGCGTAAGTCTCCGGTCGGTTCTTCGTGGGGTATTCTTCGCTTGCAATTTCTACGTTCGGTTTGGCCTTGTTTTGCTCTTTGCTCACATAATAGCGTAAGAATTTGTAGGTTGCGGGAAGGTCTAGATGCCTGTTGACGGAGTGGGCATCTGAGTGCCATGCCCCAAGCGTCAGTCTTTCAGCTTTTGAGGTTCATCGGCTTACGATGGTTGCTTCTTGAATATCAAGGTCGTGGTCAGTCTTTCCGATGTGTGCCGCAAGCTGTGAGTTTTGGTCTAGTCTCCGAGCGGCTAGTTAGTGTTCGTGTAGTCGGGTGTGCAATTTCGGCCTGTTTCTCCAACGTAATTACAATCTCCAACGTATCTTGTAGAAAACTGCAGAGGTTACAGTAGGGGCCAGTCTGTCCTTAGGTTGCATCACACGGCGGTGTATTGTTTCCTGAGGCCGATGGGCTATGCCTACTCCTGCGGAATCCTGGTACGTTTTTCGGGAACCAGGTCGTGTTTGACACGCATGTACAGGCTCTTTAGCTTGTTAGTCACTGGCCCGGTACCGACTCCGATCGTAATGACCCTGCACTGCTGCCGCACCCAGGAAGGCGGGAGATGGGCGAGTACAGTAGATGTTGCGTGAATTTACTATCCTTGTAAATTAACTCGCCCGCAAATCTCCGTCCTGCGCCCGCGATGCTGAGAGGCACACAGCGGGCAGCATCACATACGATGGGTTAACCACCATATGGACGAAAACTGGTAAAGCAACGGGCAGACTAGTCATCATCCTAATGAATAACCACACCTTTAAGTTCAATAACGCATTCAGATTCGCAGTCTCCAATTTAAAGCTAAAACCATGAAAAAGTCTAATAGTGAATAATATCTAAAATTCTCAGTACGGGGGGGGGGTTGGCAGATTAGTTTAATTCAGTTGAACCAAATGTGGCAAATTCGCGGCATCAGTGCGAGTCGAACCCACACAGTAGGGGAGGCTTTTGCGCAGCCAACGCCCTACCAGTGAGATACGAGGCTCGCCGTGCACCATGAATTTAATCACACTTGGATCGATTTAATCACCCAGCCTACTGATCGTATGAAATCCACCATTACAGATACAGCAAGCTGACTGCCCAAACCCAATCAAGCAGGTTATTAATTTCTCGTCTTCACAGAGCATATTGAGCAGTACTATCTAAGCCGGAAGCACGGAGCATCGAGGGGCTTAACTTTCCAATGAACCTGGTTTCTCTTCTTGCTGCTGTCGTCTCTAATACAGAAACTGAAAGGTTTGCCCAAATAACCACTTTGATAAAGGTTCCGGCAAGCTCCTTTTACGCTAGGAGCTGTTTGCAGGACACGAGATCGCGATGAGCTAAACCACCAGTTTTCTGCTCAGTACGTCCCAAATGCATATTTCATGCCAGTTTGACATCTCTCGGTCTCTCTTTACGATATCCGTGGTTGCTGGTCCTTTTTAAAAGGAAAATGTGGGCAGCAGTTCTCCTGGAAACAATTCACTACCAATGTAAACAAAAGGAATCAACCCCGAACTTTGAGACTAGTGCCTACGTGACCTGTTTTCATAGTAGCATCCCTGAAATAAAAACGCATGGTTAATCTAATTTATTTTTCCTGCAAATTACCCATTTTCTGCCTAGCTCTTAAAGAGCCGAATTTAGGCTGGTATTAGAGCGTGTCGACTTAGTGATGACCAATTTTCACCTCAACGCTTGTTTTATAATTAAAAGCCTTATGGCTTCGAGATCCCCACGTTTCTCCTTCTCCGAGAGGGAGGGGTGTTACATAGGCCTATCTTATAACTCCGGAAAATATTATAGTGGCGGATTCTCTGTGTGGAAACGCAAAATACCTTTGAAGTGCGACCCAAATGGGAGAAAGATGGAGGCAAACAGTAAGAAGGCGAAGTGAGTGAAGATTGCGGTGATTTCGTTGGGAGAAAAACAACAATCTGACGGAAAAACATCGCCTGCTTGGAAAAAACTGGTTCAAAGTGATTGCCACACGCAAAATAGACGGCTTGCAGTTTGGGGAATTACTACAGAAAGTATGCCTGTAAAAGCAAACGCTGCAATGTTTCCCACTAAAGTAGGAATTAAAACGAGCCTGAAAAAGTTGTAAGCAAACAGCCCTTGGTTTGACATGGAATACATTTTACGATAAAATGTTAGACATTTCCCGAATGCATGCGAATTTCTTATAAGTAGCCATATGAACGGTAATTTATAATAGTCCTGTCATTCAGTATTTTAGAATCCCCACTGCCAGATCGGGGTGTACATTTATCTAGACTTAAATCTTTTTGTGGAATCGTAAGTACTCCTGAACTCTGCCGGGGTGTGCGTCCATTTACCTTGAACTTTTCAGTTCTCTAATCTCGTGAGAACGTATTTTTATTGTAAATGGGACCATGGGTTTTTCCTACTGGTTTGAAACTACGAGTAAGAGCCATCGATAATTTGGTGTAGTTACTGCCAACAGAAAGGAACTAATATGTCATGTAATGACTGGTTTACTTTCTTAAAAAACCATCTCCTTAAAATATACAGGGAGACGGGATGTCTGAACCTGGCTCCAGTTGGCCATTGGCGCGGTTGATCAACTAGCCACTGTCCCATCAACATAAAATAGGCTTCAAGTCAGGCTTCAGGAAAGTGTATAATCCAAAAAGTGTCCGTCACGATTTCCTTTGTCTGCTTTGCTATTAACTGTCGACTCGCGACTCGTACGTTTAAAAAATCAAATCCGTGAACGCAACGAAAGGCTATAGTTTTTCATGACTTGCTTACCATTAAAAGTTAAATTCAAACTGCGGCAAATTGTGAAAACGTTTGAAGACTTCATAGGAGCATTACATGGCAATCAGTTAAGCGTGCGGTATTTCTTTTTATAAAAAAAATTTCCAAAGAGACACCTGTCTGACTGAACCACCTCAAACTTGTTGTAAAGGTACCCAAAGCCGATGTGTCACCGCCTAATTACGTCTTGTGTGCGCCCCCAAGGAAGAACACGATAAGAAGAGTGCAAAAGAACAAGTCCATTTGTGTAACTAGAACGACAAATTTAAGATGAACAACCCGTGTACAGCAGTGTTCCTCGGACCAATCAAAAACTGCTCTGGAGCGAGTAGTGACACGATTGGTTTGTGACTCAGCGGCTGGCTTGTCAGATTTTTAGTCTGGCCGCAGCTTTAAATGTTAAGTTATTGATTGATTGACTGCCCGTTGCGTTCGCCGCGTGTCGGCCGATCGATAGCCTGCCGTGAGCGCGGCTCTCTGCCTGCCTGCTTGCGCATTGACATAAACTGTGTCACCAGTTGATTCGATTAGAGAGAGCCCTTACAAAACTGCCACCAAAGACAATTTAAAGAGCCGATTTGAACTACTTGTGCAAACCTTAGCGGCTCTGGTGGGATTAAAACCTATGCCAACAAGG